GACAAGAATAATTTTAATACAAGGGATATTATTCTCCTCAGAAAGTAAATGTGAGTAGTATGATGTAATGGCTGAGTTTATGGAGTTTGGAATYACAGATAACTCAAATCAATCTAGAGCATACCATTTACCAGCCTCAGTTCCTTACAAATGGTATCTAATACCCATCATTATATTCTCTCTATCTGCAGGTATGAAAGGGGAACTTGTTTTATTAAACTGGATTGGGTGATATCTTTCAAAAGGATAYGAAGTATAAAAGACCCTTAGGACAATTCTGAATCTGGAACAGCAYATTTATATTAATATAATGTAAAATAATTATCTAAAAGTAGGAATATGTGTAAAATTACATGATTGCATCAGATGATCTAATTCATAATTTTTCAATAGTGTCCTATTTCCTGCAATTCTATAATGTATTAGTAAAGTTTTCTTATATCTTTCCTTAGGTAAATCAAGTGAAAGGGAATAATGGAGGGACATATTCTCAATAAAATGAGGGAATCATAATGGGAACCAGGATTAAGAGATTGAATATTGTTTCCCACCCAAAATTAATTATTTTAAATCAGAGATGTATTAAATGCTGATTTTTTGAGTCTTTTACCTGTCAGCCTCTGCATGCTTTGATTTGAACAGTGGCCTTATGCTGTCAGGTTGAGAGCTCTGCAGAGTTACTTTTGAGACCTTCATTCCACATAGAAGGCCTCCTCCATGCCCCTTGCCTAGGTGTATTCTTTAGATGCCACTAAAATCATGACAGTATTAGGACACAMACTTGAAAAACCCTTGTACTTGTGTTAACTGATTGACTAGCTTTCTATTTCCTTTGGCTTATCAGAGTCCCTAACTGTAAAGAAGTGCAGATCATACTCTCCAATCAACAGCTGTAATTCTGCAATATCATCAGTTACAGGGGACGCTGCTGCATGAGGTTTCCACAGAAGCACAACTTTTTACAGCTTGGAAATACATGAAAGATCTTAATGYCTTCATTTCAAATGGGAGAGGTTAAGTAATTTACTCAGATTTACATTAAGTTATGGTTCAATAAGAACCAGATTCAAAGTCTCCTGACTTTTAGTTRCCTTCCTTCCACCCACTTTACTCCAAAACACTTTCACACATACAATCAGTTGTCCAAACATCTCTGTCTTCAAGTGTGAGGTGAATGCTTCTAAAAGGCTCATACTTGTGAATATATCACTGACAACTTCAGAGCTGGGTCATTTTCATGGCTCAATAAAAATATTTCAGATGCAACTGGATCCAAGGTTTAAAACATTAAATACAAATGATCCTTTTAATCAAGGAAATTCTGAGTTTGAAAAGAGGACCTCCATAGTGTATCTCTGTCCAGCAACTGATGATGCTATTCATCAGTGATGCTAATTGGTTCTTCAGCATCAAGACTGCCCGATTTAGCATCAAAGAAATGAATATCTTGATTCTTATTATTTGGGATTTGGGTAGAGACGGGACATAGCTCTCACTGCTTGAGACTTATCTGCTTTTCTCTAACCCAGTCCTCTCCTGTTCTCCATCATGGTGAGTCTGTGGCTCCGTGGAAGCTCCTGCATGGCACATCTGACAATGATGCTGATGGCACTGAGCCTTCCCCTGGCTTTGACCAGGGACACCAGACGTAAGTGCACTCTTCAGGCATAGAGAGGCCATGGGTGGGGGAAGGAAGGGAATTACTTTCTCAGTTTGTCCAGGCCAAGTCCCTCAAAACTTGTGACATTTTCTTCACTGGCCACATRTTTTCATCATGTGGATTCTAAACTACTTCCAAAAATATAGAGCCAGAGCCTTTTCTATGAGACCTGTTTGAAAAGTCTTCATATGTAAACCATTTCTTTTCAAGTTGTCTTCAGTAAAGTCTCCAGTCTCACATCATGTTCTCTCAGGGCCTTGGACGGATTAGAAATAATGTTAAACTGATTTCTCACTCAGCGGTTCCCTTTATATGTTATTATRCCAGAAAAAAGGTGATTTTTTTTAAAAAAAAACTAACTTTTATGTATAGTTCTAGTCTCTTTTATACATGCCACTTGGTTCTTTGTTTAAATTATGAAATATTAAAATACGCAARCAGTTTGAAGATATCAGTAAAAATAGTAGTAAGAGTCAAAAGGAATTGGAAGGGTTTCTCCCAGAAGACACAGGAAGTGTGAAGCTGCTGCCTCTGTAAAGGGTGAGGATGCTCCAGGAGGTGTCATCCACTGTCTTTTCTCTTTGTCCCTGAACTGCACTGTTCATAACCGTGGATCCCTGTGGGGCAGCTGGTCTGGTGGTATTCTTGACCTTCTTCCTGCTGTGGTTGCACCCTTCAGTTGAGGCAGAGATCCCCTGTACTTGACATGACTGTATAGAAAAGGAGCACCTCTGGGCTGTTCTTTTGTACCTTAAAATATGTAATGCTACTTCCTCCTCCTC